CCAAGGCAGGCGAGGGAGGGGGCGGGGTTAGCCGTCACCTTTGTAGGGCAGCCGGCCTGGGGGGGGAGCTCAAGGTTAAGTTGGTGTCCCCCTTCCAAGGCCAGTCCAGCGGTGGCCAGGGGAGGGGCGATGCCGCAGGACCTGCACGGAGGCGGAGGCGGCACTGGCGCCGGCCGCAGTGACAGGTGACAGGCTGCGGCTCTGTGCTGGGGACACGTAATCGCGGCCCAATTATCGCCCCAGAGGCCCAGCAAACCCCGCACTGGCGCCTGGGGCTCCGTTCTTCCACCTCCAGGCTGCTCCCCCGCCTGGGATGGGGTCTGCCCCACCCGCCCCTCTGTGCAGCCCTCCCCCCACAGAGAGCAGACCTCCCCCCACAGCTTCACACAGAGCAGGAGGGGCAGGCTGGGGAGGGGCAGGCGGAGGGAGAGCTGGACGTGCAAGGAGGGGAGGGCCTGGGGACCCCCTCGCTCCGAGCCCAGCTGGTCTGAGGCTCCGGGCCTGACAACTGCCCAGGCCTTGCCTTAGGGAGGGAGGGGCTCTGCGGGGGGTGGAGGGCAGGCAGGGATCCCAATGCTAGGATCCCCGGGGCTCTGCGGGGGGTGGAGGGCAGGCAGGGATCCCAATGCTAGGATCCCCGCGGGACCCACTTAAGACCCTCCAGGCCTGGCCTGCTGCCCTGGGGCTCAGGTGGCCACAGCCAGGTGCTAAGATGCTCATCTCAGGATCGGCCTCCATCCCAGCCTCAGGGTGCCCACCCACTGAGCCTTGTGCTTCGTGGGGCCTCGCCACCTCGCCACCTGCCTGCCCGTGGCTGCCCTGTGACCAGCACTCGCCCCGCAGGCTCACACCCCCTCTGGGGACCCACCTCCTCTCCTGTGGCTTCCAAACTCCCCCCTGCTAAGGTCCGCCTTGGCAGTCGGGCCCTTCCCACCCGGCCTGGGCCTGTCATCCAGGAGCCCACCCTCCATGAACCACGAACCACGTCTCTGCCGGCCACCCTGTGGGGCCATCCGGGTCAGATGGCCTCATTCCATGGCCACCACGCCTGTGGGAGCTGGGCGGAAAGGACGGGCGGCCTG